CCTGTTTTGTGTTCAGTGTTTTTTTTGGGATCTCCTTCTTATTATTCCCATTTTTTCCATTGACATTCTTATTTTTGTTGTGTGGAGCCATTGCGGCAGCGGTCGTAGAAGTCGTGGTGTTAGCGATACTAGCTGCTTGAGTGACAGTGCTCGTTGTAGGTGCATGAGGTTGTTGGCTTTTTTTATTCATTACTCCTGTTGCCTTTTTATCATCAGGCTTTAAATTACTCTTAGGATCATTCGATTTGTTAGGAACTTTATTTGGCTGAGTAGAATTTTTTGCTTTATCATTGTTCCTGCTGTTGTCACTTTTATTATCAGTTTTCATAATCTTCGGTCGCCCGCCGGCATCCAGCGGTGTGTCACTTGATTTTCTTTTCTGACCCACTCCGATGATTGCAGTTGGTTCTGCGTTGTTGTTGTTCGGATCGACACTGTGTTGCTGCTGCAGTAACGGGTGAGACGCGACAACAGCAGCACCGGCAAGAACAGGTTCCTTCACGTCATTCCTATAACTGGCGTGTGTATGTTTCTTCAGAATTGAGACGGGAGGTGACACCATCTCTTTTACCGGCGTAGATTTCTGCGTTGTCGATGTTGCCCAGTTGCTTTCTTGATGTTCCGCTGCCGATAGTGCCGGTGTCAACAGGGGGGTCCCATCCAACCCTCCTGCTCCCATCGTACCCCACTTCATTCCCATGGCTCCAACAGCATTGTTGATGTTATTATTTGAGGCCAGAGTTGAATGATCCAGCGGTCGAGCCATACGTCGCGGATCTCCAGATGCGACGGGGAAGCATGGAGTCTGCGGTTGAAACAAGCCACCGTTCATGTTTAACGTGGGTGACATCATGCCAGAAACTGAGAGCTGCCTCGTTATGCTGATGTGCATGTTGGCGGGTGTGGTTGTGTCGACGTTCAACTTTGGAGCCCTGCCGAGGTCGAGCTGTGGTTGGTTGCCGGTTGGAAAAATGGTAGGAGTTGATGAGATAGGCGAATAACTAGGTCGCCTGACGGACCAGAGAGACATGTTGTGCGATGGACTTTGCAGAGAGCTCCAGTCTGACATGAGAATATTTGTTGTAGAAGTTGTTGGTGTGGTTGCAGGAGGACTGAATATCTGAGGAGGGAGAATGTTGTTTGGCAGATGCTGATGAGCAATTGGTGTAAATGGAGTGGCGGATATGCTGCTGGCAGTTGAAACATCCAGATGGGAAGGAGGATTCATGCTCGGATAGACTGGAGTGTCATTCAGCTGTGCCATCCTGTGAAGCATCTCCAATCTTCTGGTGTCTTGATCAAAAATGCTGTTCCTCGACAGGAGAATCTTCGTCAGATCTGAAGGTTCTGACTTCTGTTGACCATCGAAAGTGGCGGACGTCAAGGATGAGCTGTTGTAGCTGGTGTCCTTTCTGTGTCGGCGATACTTCTCTCTGTAGTCCATAACTGAAGAGAGGCCAGTGGAGTTGGTCGTAGTCGAGGAGGCAGATGATGAAAACGCATCGTCAGATGATGCATTGATGATGGATGAGGGAGCAGGCTTCCTTGAAACTCCTTGCTGGATTTTGCTGAGCTTTTCATCGAGTACTCGAATTCTTTCATCCATGTCGTCGCCATCCGGACTGTTACCTGTTTCCATTTTTAAATCATCCAATATGGCCGCCATGACGTCACTATTGTTAGTTGCTGTTAGAGATGCTGTAACTTGAGTTCCAGATTTTGCAGTTGAAACAACAGACGTGCTTGATGATTCAATGACTGGTTTAACATCTGTCACCAGCAACAACAATCCATCGTTACTGATTGTTGTGGCAGTTGTTGTTGTTGTTGTTGTAGTCGTTGTTGTTGGAGGGATGAATTCTGACTTGACGACTCCAGCAGACTGTCCACAGTTGACATTACCATTTTCGTCTTTGATGCTTCGCTGTTCTGGTTGTTCAATGTTGTCAAATGACGTTGAATTGTCATTCGGGATAAATGATAGCGTCATTGATTCACTTTTAATAGACTTGAAATTTTCAAGAGTTAAGTATGCATTCATGTCACCAGACACAACTGACGCTTGAGAAGCGACCACAGATGATGCTGCAGACGAGCTACTGAAGCAGTAAGTTGATGTCAGCAACGATGCATTGGCAGTAGTTGATATAAATGTTGTTGTTGTTGGTGTTGCCAGTGCTGACGATGAAGCCATTATTAGATTGTTGAAGTTGGCGTTGGTGCAAACAGCAGGTGAAAGAAGTGGTGAAGCATGAATGGTGCAAGGAAGTGGATGATGATGATCCATGCTAGGCAGCAGAGGATGGGTTGCTGGCTTGGGAGAGCCTGTGGATTTCCTCCTCTGCATCATCAATTCTATCCCAAATTTGGGTAACGGAAGTATCATGACCTCTCTAACTCTCTTCTCAACTGTGCTGCAATTGCGAGGTTCTATGGGCTTTTTGTTGTTGTCTCTGCTGTTGCTGCTGCTGCTGTTTGTGTTGCTGCTACTGTTATTGTTGTTGTCAGCGTTTGATTGGTTGTTGTTATCTGCGTCGTGTGTCGTTTGGGACGATGTGGGAATGATGCAAGGTTGGTGATGGTGATGATGGTGGTGATGATGATGATTCTGGTCTTGCTGCTGTTTGGAGAGCTTTTTACTGGTGCTAGTGACTGGATCGACCGATTGCTCGAACGACGATTTGACGTGTTTTTGAGTAGCTGCAGCTGTTGCATCACTCGTTGCAACTGTCGGAGCCGCGATGATGTCATCCACAACGGCACTGCTGCCAACAGCAACTACGTCACTGAGTGGAGACAGTTCGTTGCTGCTGACGTCACTAGCAGGCGAGTAACAGGCTTTCCTTAATTTCTCGTTAACATCCGATGAATCTTCAGCGCGCTTCCCTTTAACATTGTTGCTGTTGTTGTTGTTGACGTTCGCATTACTGGAGCCACTCTTTTTCTTGTGCACAGATTTATCCGCGGTAACGGGTTTCGATGATTTTTTTGATTTTGTTTTGCTTTCACTGATGACGACAACGTCAGCTACGGAGTTTCGTCTTGTAGCGAATGAAGACGAAGTCGATGAGTTCGGCGTACTAGGTTGTGCTGAATGTGTACCCACAGTTTCGATGCTGCCAGACTGCCTTCGACTGTCCAATGAATTCGCTGAGGAGCGAGCTTTATTGGCATCTTGCAGCGACTGCTTCGCCGTTTTCAAACTTTCCAAAGATGTGTTGTTGGCCGAAGATTTTTTATTTTGTCTCAAGAAGTCTTCATTGGGTTTATTTAAAGTACTTATAACAACTTTTTCATGACATATCATTACGTCGGCGAAGGAATTAATATTATTTTTGTCGCTGTTATTAACATTAATGTTGGCATTATTGAGATTATTGTATCTGTCGTTAGCAGTCGGAACGCCATCGTCTTCCATGGCCTTCAGCATGTCAAGTAGCTGTTGTTTCTGCTTCTCCAACGCATCGACCTCCTCACTGGCATGCGATCCCATCTCCTCGTTCGAATCCGACTCGATGCTGGCCACCGAAGCTGCCGACGACGACGTCGTTATTGATGACGATGACGTCGACCTAGAGGTGGAAGATGAAAAGTCAGAGCAGACATCCGACGGCTCCTTGCTAACGTTCGATGCCGATGACTTTCTCCGAGATTTCAACTTATCAACTGATTCAGAGTTATTTTTAGAACTGGCATCTGAGTTATACTTTTCTTTGTGACCTGATCTCTTGTGATTCCGGTTGTACTTATCCTTCATCTGTCCGGGATCGACCCAAGTCTCATTATCGACGACGACCGTACGATGACCTCCGGACGAGGCAACAACCAGGTCGCCTTTGCTCTTCGAAGAGATTCGGCTGCTCGACGACTTTTTGTGGGACGACGTCAAAATCAAGTCAATGGGACTAGTTGACGGCTTGTGCTTGGACGATGAACTTTTTGAGGAGGCCGTGTTTAGAGCAGCGGTGCTACTGCTACCTCTGCTCTCGTCCTTGTGATTTTTGCTGCTCGTTTTGCCTGAGTGTTTGTGATATTTGCTTCGATGTTTCTTATCGCTGGATGTTATCGAGATCCTATCCTCCCAGTCCTCGCTCGGGATGTTGATAGGAGAGGCATCCAGGATGATGCTCCCTGTATCTCCTCCGCGGTAGGGACCTCGCCTCTCCGATGACAAACTTCGATCCTTTCCGGATGTTGATGGCCTGGATACTGGGTAGTTCTCTCTGCTGTATGATGACGAATTCGAAGGCGGTATGGTCAGGTCATATTTGAAGGGACGACTTCCAGGTAGACTGTCAGTTTTAGAATTTTAAGATGCAAACATCAAGCTAAAGTTTTTACGAATTCGTTTCTACATGATCGACACCAACGAAGCCTACTAATTTTTGAATATCAGAAACCAAAAAATACGAAAATATAACAAAAAACTAACCACCCGTCCCTAGCAGCAGCGCCATCATAACCGTTGTAATAATTTCCAGGAACCATTCCCCTAGAACCGCGGTTCCCAGCTGGAAAGCACCTGTTGTTAAATCTGTTGTTGGGCGGTTGCTGCTGCTGCTGCTGAATGGAGGTTTCGTATGGATAGAAACGATCCTCCCTCGCTTGGGCCGGAGCGTTGTAGGCGGGCCTGTATCGGTGCAACAAAGTGAAAGTTTAGGCTGGATGTTAGGCAAATGCATTTGCGAATGCGGTCAATACATCTCAATGAAATGAAGCAACTGCCCCAATTAAAATGACAACAGCGACGATTTCACTAACCACTGTCTGACAAACTCGACGCTGCTGTTGTTGAACGGGTGGACACCCCTGTTGATCCTGTCCTCGAGACGATCCCCTAACCTCAACTGTCCCGTCTGCTCCATGCTTTCTAGAAACATGTTCTGGCAATCCCGGCTTGCAAAGTCCACCTGATCATTCAAAATTTCAATTGTTCCATAAATATCGACAATTATTTTTGAGAGTAAATGTCAGAATATTTTCCTCTTATCATCACATCATTATCTCACCTGTATTCTTTTATCGTTGACCAACCGGCCCCTGAGTTCGCCGACAGCCATGATGGACTGATCGACGGATTCGTAGAAAATGAGTGCTCTGGTGGTCTTCCTATCGATGTACATGCCGATGATGTGTCCAAATGCTGTGAGGTGTTGCAGGGCGAGGAACTTCTCCGACACCGTGTGGTCGATTCCTTCCAGCCAGACGCAGTTTGTTGGCATGCTCTTGCCGAATCCAACCTGTTTTGTGGATGTAAGATGTAGGAGGGTTTGATTTACTTGAAGGCGGCTGTTTGAATGTTGTGCAACTGATGTCCTACACCACAACAGATGACAAACGCACGCACACATACGCGCAAGCACACAACCTATAAGAGAGAGAAACAACCACAAACCTTTATTTTGTTATTATTAATCATCTCATCGTCCATCTCCCTTAGAGCCTGAACGACTGAGCGAATATTATCAAACTGGATGAATGCATAGCAGGTGGCTTGTCCTTGGTTCTTTATATCTATGTCCTATTGGGTGATATGAGATGCTGCTTGTGAAATGTCGTGTGTGAGATTTCAACAAGTCATGCGGTACAAACAAACAAATAAGCAAGCAAGCAAGCAAACAAACAAGCAAGCAAGCAAACAAACAAGCAAACAAACAAACAAGCAAGCAACCAAACAAGCAAGCAAGCAAGCAAGCAAACAAACAAACAAACAAGCAAACAAACAGACTAACGATAATGTTTCCATATTTTACGAGTATATCTCTGAGGAATTCTTTGGTTGTAGTCTTGTCCAGGTTGCCGATGAATAGAGTCCTGGTGGCTTTGTGGTGGTACTCGTCTTGGTCGTCTTGCTGACGGAATTCTGGCTTCAATTCTGATTGATTGGAGGTGGTGTTGTTGTTGAATAAATGAATGGATGAATAAATGAATGTATGGAATGAATGAATGAATGAATGAATGAATGAATGAATGAATGGTCAAATGGATAAAAAAACGAAAAAAATGAAAAACCTAAACCAACCTTCGTGTGGGAAGACTTGCAGTTTTGTCCCAAAGAACTTTTTCTCTTGTGAGGCTTCCAGAGCTTTAGCTGCATCTTCCGATCTGTGGTTGAGAGGGTGATGACGTCATTGATGACGTATTTGATGACGTTGTTGTGGATGTTGACGATCATCATGACGACGAAGTTTATGATGACGGCGATATTAGAAATTCATGCACGCTAAATGTTTTACTATCTTAAATTTTAAAAATTTAAACTATATATAAATGTATGAAGAATAAAATCCAGATATTAAACCTAAACAGAGTAATTTGCAATGTCATCCAATGTACAAAAAACCAAAAATTTATTTCATTTAGAAAAAACCCCGAAAATCTGAAAACAAGAAACCACTGAAAAAACATACTTTTTAAAGCTAACGATAGCGTGCCTATCATCAGCCTGGCCGATGACATTAACCGACAAAACCTTTCCATACTTTTTGTAATCGTGGTACAGCCCGTCCCTGATACTCGAGTCGGTAGACCGCATGGGAAATCCCTTAACTAAGAGGCCCAGAGGTTTGGAATTGTCACCACCATTGTTGCTGTCAGATAGCTTCGACGATGACAGCAAAGAGACACTCGTTGAATGTAATAAAGGTTGTTGATGTCGTAGAGTGTTGTTGCTGCTGTTGTTGTTGTTTGTCGATCTGTTTTTAGGAATAAAAAATGGCTCTATGCAATTAAAACTGTTGAAAAAAAATGTAAATTTGAATTAGATAGGTACAAATTTTTAATTCGCGAATAACAAATGATGTGAAATCAATGAAAATATGCATTTTTAAAAAAAATCGAACTATAATAATGATGATGATAAACAAATGAAATACACAAATACAAAGTTAAGCCTAACAAACATTACTAAAAGAGATCATGATCATTATCCACCCACCCACACGCACCCACACACGCGCACATACACACACATACACGCTTACATACATGTACAACAAAAACAACATCCTCACAAACTACAAAAACAACAACACAAACTTTAGTGTAGAAGAAATAAAACCATCATTGTTGTTATTGTTATTGTTATTATTATTATCATCAGGGCTATGGCAAGACGAAGATGAAGACATTATCGTCATCATACCAGAAGAGGACGACGATAACGATGCCGATGACTTCATCATCTCACCTGTACGACCCGAGCTACCTGTCAAAGGTGCCATTGCTACTGATGACGATGATGACGTAGATGATGACGACGAAGACGACGAGGAGGGGTTTTTTAATGAGACAGGTGTTCTTGACAGGGTTTCCACATTATACCTGGATAGAATGCAGTTAGTTACGTTAGCATGCATACACGTGAGTGTGGGCAGTATAAAACATAGAAAAAATAGTCAGAAGAATGAGAGTGAAAAAACAGAGAAAAAGAGAGAGAGAGAGATATATAAAAAGAGTGGTTGACGGAGAAAGAGAGAGGTTTACGGAGAAAGAGAGAGGTTGACGAATTTCTGAATGCCAACCAAAAAGGACTACGTTTTTTTATGAAAGAAAAATATTTTTAATTCTATTTTTGTAGAATTTAAATGTTTAAATGAAAAAAGCCAGAGGAAAAAAGGAATGTAAGATAAATGAATAACTAGACTAAAAAATGTATGATGCAGAGAGAAGAGGCCATGTGCTTGCTTAGCATGTGTTTGTCAGTGTTGGTGTGTCTGTACGTGTGTACGTGTGTGTGTGTGTGTGTGTGTGTGTGTGTGTGTGTGTGTCCGTCTATCTGTTTGTGTGATAAGTTTGGTTGTAAAGAGAGAGAGAGAGAGAGAGATAGAGAGAGAGATAGAGAGAGAAAGAGAGCATGTAAATCGAAGTTAGATGGTAAATTAATAAAAAAATAGCCATCTTCTTCTCACTGCTATTTAACGACTTGTGTACAAAGAATAAGAAGTGAGTGACGAAAATGAGGAAATGCATTGACATTAAAAATGATATAAAAATGGAAAACTGTAAAACACAATCGGCAAAATACATAATAAACCACTCCACTCCACGCACACATACACGCACGCACACACACACACACACACGCATACAGGCAAGGGTACAGACTTTGCATTCCATGGATTGAAGTGAAGTTTGTTGATACCAATGATGGATTTGGGCCTGCTGATGACCACTCGTTTGCTCAGGCTTCTGTTTTGTGGTTCAAACAATGTACATGTGTACGTGTGTTGTGTGTACGTGTGTTGTGTGTACGTGTGTGTGTTGTGTACACGCGTGCGTTGTGTGTACACGTGTGTGATATTATCACTACCGCCATCATCATCACGGCAAAAATTTTGTATGGGGTTTAATAAAATATTTATATTTGTAACAACATAAATCATTATTATCATATAAAAACCGTTTTTTATCCATTTATTCGAACATTCATTCGTTCACTCAATCATTCATTCAGTCTTTCATTCATCCA